GAAGATCTGAAAATATAAATTAATACCACTATACAAAACATAATTCTGAAAAGTCAAGGCATCAGACAATGAAAGAACTGTACAGTGATGAGTCCAACCAGGAAGTATTTTTATGAATTTTGTAGGCCCTGTTGTAGAGCCTAACTATGGGTTCTAAGATTTCATTTGTTGTAAGAGACCAAACAGGTAAACAATATGACATGGTTGAGCGTATAATGGCATGAAGATAGATATTTGAAACAGAAGATGTCAGATTGGATCTAATTTTTGAATAAACATATAATTTCTGTTTCAACTTAGTGATAAAGACTTGTACATGATCACAATAAGTCAAATGAGAATCCAAAGTAATTCCAACATATTTATAGCTAGTGACAATATCAAGGGGTTTGTTTGTTATGTTGAAATGTCTCCTGGGTGAGGAAAAATACATGCACACAGTTTTTTAACATTAATTGACAAAAGATTATCTTGAAGCCAACCATGAAATGTCTGAADATCTGCTTGTAACTGACTATTAATAGATTCAATATTGAAATCAGACAAAAAAAGAACAGTATCATCAGCATACATTAACATATTTGAATACTTGAATATTTTTTGGAAGGTCATTTATGTATAATAGGAAAAGCAATGGGCCAAGTATGCTACCCTGCGGAACTCCCACGGAACAGGGCAGAGACCCGGACACAGAGCTTCCATGTTTCACAACCTGACACCTATCAGTCAAATAAGAGGAAAACACTTGTATTGCAGATGATGAAAGTTGAAAAGAAATTGATTTGAATTTATTTATTTATTTAACAGGAAAAGATTATTAAAAATCAAGCCTGACTCAGCATAATTACTGTTTTACGGCAGGTTCCTGTTCTGCAGCACATAAAACACTCAGAATTACAGCATCACAATCACATCATTATTATTACACCATAGACACAAAGACAAACAAGCATACCAATCAACTTCTGTAAGAGTATAATGATCAACTGTGTCAAACGCTTTATGAAAATCGATATGTACAGCACCAGTTACTTGACCTTTGTTCAAAGCAGCACGTATTTTTTCAGTGAATAAAATTAATGCAGACATGGTTGACCTTGACGTGCGGAAACCATGTTGGCTATTGCTTTGCATATTTTTAGCTTCTAGATGCTGAAGTAGTTGATTAAATAATGTTTTTTCGAGTAACTTAGAAAAAATAGGAAGAACAGAAATGGGCCGATAGTTTGAAACTTCTGTTGGATCACCAGATTTAAAAATGGGAGTAATCTGAGCAAACTTCCAGGCATCAGGGAAAATAGACTGCACAAYACATAAATTAAGCAAATGATGAAACAATGGTAAAAAAGTGTTGGCATGCATTTTCAAGAAATCTACATTTATCTTATATTTGTCAAATGCATGTGAGCCATTTAGAGATTGGAGTGTATTCAAAACAGCACTCTGTGAAATTTCAGAAAATGAAAATGTTCATGCTACATTTATATACAGGTCAAATTAAAGTGTATGTTTTGTAGGAAATAATTTTCAAATTAAGTCTTGTTCTTTTTTCTGATTGAAGTCACACTTTTTTTTTACATAATAAATGCCTAATGGTTTAGTTACTCAGCTTTTTATGATTTTACCAATTCTCCTATTTCACAGTTTTCATTTTCCTTATCAATGTTTCTACTTCCTTGCTGTACATTTCTTTCTACACAATACACTAGCAGTACTAATAAATGTGAACTAAAGTAACTTGTGTTACTTCAGAGAGGTTGCTGGAACAAATGCTTCAAGGCAGATTCTTACATCATTTCCTCTTTTTCCCCTTTGTGCACCGTTTTTTTAACTTGGTTGCTGTTGGTAACAAAATATATGAGAAGCCAAAGCTGATGTAATAATTACCAAGAGCTACCAACTTATCATTTCAGTTACAATACTTAAAATGTGTTACTTAAAGTGTGGACTTCTCTTCTTCAGATCTTATTTTACCCATTTATTTTCTTCCCTCTTCTGCTGAATGTTCAACATAGGCAGGTGTTGTTGTTGTTGTTTGTTTGTTTGTTTGTTTGTTTTGCGTTAGCTGGCAAAACCTAAAATCTGAATTGGATAAATTAGAAATGTACAGAGCCAGATGTAGAAATAAAATTAGAGGTCAAGGAAATTTGTTCTTTCAGATAAGTCAGCTGTGCTCATGGAATTACAATAACATTCCTTGTTCAGCAAACCATCACCAATTGTTTTGTTCCTAAATTGAAAGAAACTGTCTTTACAAATCTTTGCACACAGTTTATGTATACTGAGAGAAAGCTTTGATTTTATTTATCACACCTGGCATTTTCTTTTAAGCTTAAAAATAAGTGCATTCACAAAAGTTCTGCATAATATTTTTTATAACAAGGATCTTTTCTAATTTATTATAAAGCACATTTAAAACATAAAATACTTTACAACTATTCAAACAAGACAAAGTGAAAGGAACACATTGAACCATAATAATGCAATGGGTATAATCTTTATAAAAGATTTCTGAGAGATTCAAATACTAATAGAGAAATTTTCAATAGACGTGTGTTTCAAAAAAATAGAAAGCTACTGTGCCTTTTATGTTTCTACTCAACTCTGCAGTAAGTTTAAAATGACCATAAAATTCAAACAAACTGTTATAGACTAAACTAGAGCACCCAGAGAAAACTAACCCAGGCACTAGGGAAACATGCTAACTCCATACAGACTCTGCAGGCTGTTACATTTGTTGATCTGGTTGAAGCGTATCGGTTCCATCTGTTCTTGCCGTTTCCCAACAGAAGTAGCAGCRGCACCAACAAGTTTGTAATTTCTAACCTTTTAATGAACAAGCCTGGGGCATCGGTTTTCTTATTCCACAACTTTCTGTCATGATCTTTGTTCTGGATCACATAATTGTTTAATAATTTCTTCTCTGTGTTTTTATGATCTATTCTGCCGTGTGTGGCAGATGGGGGCAGAAGAACACAACCATTTAGTAGACCATAGCAAATATAATTTAAATGTTCTCTCCACCCTCTGATTAAACAAACTGTGTTGACAAGGTTTGACTTTTTTTTCCCTGCTCTCTCTGCCTGGACATTTGGAAGCACTAATGTTCCCCTTACATAAATGACAAAAAAATAAATAAAAACAAAATTAAAAATGCCGTTAGACATGTTTTTACATCTCTTCAAACAGCATTAATTAGAAAACATTTATATAAGACAGATAGTTTTAACAACATAGTTGTGCCATTTTGACAGCAACATTCAGATTTGGCTGCACTTCTGCTGACATACTAATAGGCAGGATGTTAGAATCTAAAGTTGTAAAAAGTAAGTGTTATGACAAAAACAGTAAATATGGATAAATGTTAGTTGTTCAAAGCAGTGAGTAACACGAGTAGCACTCATGTCACAAACATAGATAACACAGAGCACTCAGAAACTGTATACATAAAATTATTTAGAAAAGTTTTGAAATATGAGTAAAATAATTTTGTCACATGAATTTAGTCTGAGKTGTGCAAACAAAATACTTTGTCTGTGTTACATTTTGCTAGCAGAGTAGGGAATTGTCTACAAATAGAAACTACATCACACATTCTGCATTAGTAACTGAATGCATGTTTTTATGGTAATGTCCTTTGCAACCTATTGTTCTTCTCTGTAAATGAAAAGCTACAGTGGTGGCAAGCCAGCCTCAGCAGGTTTGCATATTTGACACACAATCCATTTTCTGAGAACCTTGCAAGATGTTCATTCAACACTGAGTTTTGTACAAATAACTGAATCTAAGTTAAGTTTAAAATCCAACATAGACATAATTAATAAATAAATAAATATGTTGAATCAACTTTAAATGTGGTTACGTTCTGTAATTTGATCTATTTCTAAAATGATGGATTATTGAYTTTCTGTCAGTTATCAGAAAACCTTATGTTTATTCAACAACAATCAAAGACTTTTAGTATTATTACAATGTTTGAATTTTTTTCTAACAAACATATCTTTGAGTTACTTAATAAAGGAAAGGGCTTTTTCCCTAAAAAATGTATTTCAAAATTTGAACTGGATTAGATTACTACTTCAATTATGTTTCCATGATGTTTTCAGCCAGAGAGACTTTAGGAGAGTACTAAAAACTGTGACTTGAAGTGGGGGTCTGATGTATTTTCCAGGCACATACACTCTAAAAATGAAATGTTGGATTTACTTAACCATGTTATTTTACCTGGTTCCACTTAACTGAGTTGAGTAAATTCAAAGCAACATACTCATGTTCTTTGGCTAAAAAACTGGTATATTGCTTTGAATTTACTCAACTCAGTTAAGTGGAACCAGGTAACATAACATGATTAAGTAAATCCAACATTTCATTTTTTACAGTGTAGTTCTATTCTGTTCCACAATCAAGTAACTATGTTACCTTCAGTCATTATGACAATGCTGCATCTTTTGTTCTACACCATATAATCCACTGTATTTACAGCTGTTTGTGAAGCGTGAACACTCACAACAATTTTCACAGTAGTGGTCGATCTTACTGCGATCTATAATGCTGCAATCTGTAATTACACAGCAGCACTTTTCTTCAGCCTTCCTCCTGTGTTCAGGTGCATTTCTGTCCACCTCAGACAGACGACGAGAGGCATTTTCTCCCATTCATGGACCAAGTGTGCTTGCCATAGCATAAGGATTTGATTATTTGTATCTGTAGAAGGGTTTGTACTTCGGTCTAAGCATGGTATTCACTTTCAAAAAAAAAAAGTGTTTTTATATTCAATTGCATTCACTTCAGAAACACATTTGGTGTCCAAAAGTGGATGCTGTGGATTTACATCAGTTATTTTTGTAACATAAAATGTAGTCTCTTACAGCTGTTCTGTCTCGTAGTGTGATATACTTTCTGATATTTTGGTATTTGCAATTTCTGAATCCCTTCTCTCTTACTAACATTTGGTAGTTTTCTTTGCTTCTGATATTTTTTTTTTCTCTGTTGACTTGCAGGCTGACTGGTACAACGCTGCCCTCACCAGTGATATCAAATAAGAACTGGCTTCGAATACATTTCACATCCGACAGCAATCACAGAAGACAAGGATTCAGTGCTCAATATCAAGGTATGTAATACTTATTTAGGCTGGCTTGTTTATTATTGACTCCCTTTTTTATTCACCCACACAGACAGATGGAGCACACTGCAGAAATGTAAAATGTTGTGCAAAATTCACTATATGAAAAAAAAATGCTGTTATTTTCTATCATTTGGAACCTAAATTCAACAAACATACAGACAAGACATTACAAAAACGTGAAAATATGTGTTGGTTGACAACAAATATTTTCATCATATGAAACAAGTGTCGCAATATCTGTTTATGACCAATCTAATATTTTGACAGTATTTGGTTTTGTTGTTTTTAGATTTTTGGAGCTTTGGTTTTTGTGTTGTTTTCAGTACTATTATTGCCACTAGATGCCTGTTCTTGCTTGCAGCTACTCATTTACCATGTCTTTCATTAGAAGTCAGCACACCACATATTGTTTACCATTCATCACCATCACTCTCAGCCTTTTTCAAAATGYCTGTTACCATTCATGTAGCTTGCCATTTTGTCAGTTTCTCTCGTTGTTTTGCGAACGWTTCCCTGGAAAGGTTTTGCATATGTGCTCCTAGATTCTGCATAGCTGCAACTGTGGGTTCTTTGTAGATGTCAGTCATCACAATAGACCATATCGTCATCCATGGTGTTTTTAAATGCATACTTTTAATTATAGCTAGCACATTTCCTTTATAGCCAAAAAGAAAGACTGTGACTTCCAAACATGTTTTTAATCTACAGGAAATGAATCTTTTTCACTACATGATTTTTTTGAAAAGAAATTATTTTTGAATTATCTTCAAATATGTTTTTATTTGCTTGTTTGTTGTGTTTTTTGGGATGCTTGCATTATACCTTGTTACTGCACAGAACTGTGTTCACCGAACATTACAATTTTAAAAGTGTCCTTAAGCCCATGCACTGATTTTTCACAACACAACTGTATCTGGAGGCTGCCTGAGGGCTTGAAGATTTCAACCATTTAATATTAAAGATCAACCTTGTTGCTCACTCATGCATAAAAATTCTCCAGATTCTCCTAATTCCTCTGTTGAATCATAGTGTTATGGTAAAATCATGTTCTTTGCAGTTCAGTAATTAAAAATAAATATGGTTTTGAGTTTTAGAACTATTTGCCAAAAACAGACATTTACCGGGCGGTAAACTGCTCCTGACTTTTTACCTTTGAAATATTGGGTTTTTGTAGGAATGCTCTTTTTAAACCTAGGCATTTCACTAAGCTGTTCTCTTTCAACAAGTAGTTTTATGGTGTTCTGTCAGCTTTTGTTTTCTTGCATTGTCACACATTGTTGTGAAAGATGTTGAAAAAAATTATAAGTAAAAAAAAATTCCTAAATAATATCAACACTTTGCTCCTTTACAATATTTTCAGAAAACTACTGGCCTTGAAATTTAAATAGAAATTCAGTAATTTGTCACAAAGTCTCTAAACAATACAGGAATCGAGCTATTATGTAGTTGTTTTCCCTTTGGTAAATTAAGTACTTGTTACAAAATTAGTCGCCTTTTTTTTCTTTTTTGATCAATTTTCCAAATAAGTTTAAAGAAAGGAGAAAGTATAAACCAAGCAAAATGAGATGGCTGGAAAGCAATAATAAAATGTGTCCTGGTAATGAGTCTTGTTGCAGCCTTTCAAATCAGCTACAAACAGCATTAAAAGCCTCAAATTTATTCATAGAATTGATTTCCCTGGAAATGTTTCCCTGGAAATGTTTACAGTAATAGTACTGTACAAGAATTATTGTACTATATTATTATAGAGGATAGAAATAAATTTGTTACTCCAATGACATTCTAATACATGACATTTTTGTTTATATATTTTTAACAATACAAAAAGTAATGTTTAAATATCGATGCAAGTTCATGATTAGTGTGTGCACAGGAGATCATTTGTGAGGCATTATTTCAACACAATTTGCAAGCATGGACAAGTTAGGGGTACATGGTCCATGAATACCTGTGTATGTATCTGCTGCAATGACAAGTATTTATTGAGAGCTAAATTATTTGACTGGATTTGCTCGACTTTTCATGTCATCTAATGGACAGGTTGTGCAGCACAAGGATGCACGTTAGTTTCCATGCAGTGGTTCAGACTTAATTGGAGGTGTGAAAACAAAACAAGGCGAATCAAACCCTGACTGTCTTTTGTTTTGCATAACTCACCTCTTTTCTGGATTCCATTCCTTTATGCTGTCCAACTTTCTCCATCTTCCCCAGGTACGGGTTTGTTGCACTTGCCATCGGTACTTCTCTTTTGCGCTCTGTGTGTGTGTGTAAAAAAGGGATGGTTTTTTTTTATGCCAAGTCGGTCTCTCAGTGGAATGTAGTGTGGTTGTAACACAGATTTCTCCCCTTATCCTCTGCAGTGCTGCCACTTAGGATAAAAAAGATGGAATAAATTTTAATGTTGCTTGTTTCAGTTGCTCTTCTCCCCTTTCCCCGCCTATTTCCTTCCACCCACATTTCTGTGTTTTTTTTGTAATTTCCTCTTTTACCTGTTTTGTTAAAAAAAAGTAAAAATCATAGCTGTCTCATTTCATTGTATGTTTGATTTGAACCAAGATTAAACTACACATGCAGATGACACACAGCAAATGGGATCACCTCTGAAACAAATGCACTTTAGAGGAAGATGTACAGCAATTAAAGTTTCATCAAGTATAATTTATAATTAAATGAATAACCTTCTTCTCTTCTCATCTCCGCAGTGAAGAAAGCTATAGAGCTGAAGTCCAGAGGCGTAAAAATGATGCCCAGTAAGGACTCCAGTCACAAAAATGCTGTCTGTAAGTACACGTTGATGTGCATATTRCATGTGTGGTGGTAAATAGTGTGTTGTTGTGCCATTTAGAAGTTCTAAATGAAAGTTAAAACGCRGCCAGCAATGCACCAGAGCATGGACTGTGTACAGAAGGACACACAAGGTGCATTCATCTTTGATGTGCAGCTGAGATTTCATCAATCTTTTAGTGATGTTGGCCTTCTTTGAAATGAGAATTTGAACCACTTTCTTTCATTCCCCTCCATCCTCCTTTTCATCAAATTTATGAAATTAGATCCCTTGCCAACAATAAATAAATAAATAAATAAATAAATAAATAAATAAATAAATAAATAAATAAATAAATAAATTTCAAACTGTTCAGTTCCTACACTAACACATAAACACCCAAAGCATTGTAAACACACTTTTAATGTATCCTTTGAATACTCTTCATTTATCAATAAATGTTACTTTTTAAAATTTAACAATGTAAAATCACCCATAGTATATCAAATTTATTTTAATGAATATGTATTAAAGCTGTTAAAGTTTTGTGCATTAAAATACCAAAGGGAAATTACCAGAAGAGAGAAAAAAAAAGTAAAAATCTACTACATAATACTCTTGTTTCTTTAAACTGTTTGGTAATTTGTGTTTTTATTTTACTTACTTTTTTGTGCTGTTTATTTTTCTCAATTTCATCTTTCATGCAAGTGTCAGGTCCCTATTGTCACATGCATCTCTGCTGACTGATGTTTCAGGCGAATCTAGCCTCAACAGTTAACTTCATAAAGGGGTCTCATGTACTAATAAGTAAAAAGAGCATCAACTTTTGAATTTCAAAACAAAGTTGTTCATGAAAACTTTACCTTTTGTACCACCTGAACTTAATGACTCAGTGCACGAACCACAACTCCAACAGCTCAAGATATTTAAAAAGTTGCAAATTTTGCTTTTAATTTATTGCCTTTTGGTGATCAGTTCATCTTCCACTTATCTACACATACTTGGCAAAGTTCCTTATCAGTGACATAAAGCATTTTGCAAAGTGAAACTGCAATGCTAACTAAAAATAATCACATTTTGCACAATAAGTTAGACAACACTCATACTCTAAACACATTGTGGTACTATTGTCTCATTGTTAAACATTTAAAACTCGGTTCACACTAGCATAAATGTTTTCTCAACAAATGTTTTAAGACTTTTCAAGACTAATATATTTTGTTTAAATCTTCTAAGTCAGGACCCTTTTAAAATGTTTTTTTCTTTATTATTTTCTAAGTGTTTGTGGTAAACCTTTTACACATGAACTTATTTTCAGCTTTGTTATGTTTATAAATTTGATGACTCATCCTATTAGGCTTTTCTTGTAACCAAGACTTTTTCAGTCTTTTTTTCTAGCAGACACGAGAGACAAGTTGTCAGTTAGAACTGAGTTTGTTTATTTTCTGAACTAATAAACAGCTAAACAATGTCCAGATCATCTGATAAAAATTTGAATTATCACAAAAGCCGGAAATCATTTCTTATCCATTTCTTAGTATTTAATAGAACTTAGTGATAAAATTCTCATTAATATTTTGGCAGCTTTCTTTTAATGCTCGATAAAATGTGTTTGTGTGTGGATGTAGAAATCATACAGTGATATGAAAAAGTTTGGGCAGCCTTGTTAATTTTCCTGATTTAAATTTATAAATCATTGATTGTTTGGATAAAAACATCAGTTAAATATATCATATTGGGGACAAACAAAGTGATATTTGAGAAGTGAAATGAAGTTGATATGATTTACAGAAAGTGTGCAATAATTGGTTAAACAAAATTAGGTAGGTGCATAAATTTGGGCAGCAAAAAAAACCCTTAACTCAATATTTAGTAGATCCTCCTTTACCATAAATAACAGCCTCTAAACACTTACTACAGCTTCCAATGAGAGTCTGGATTGTGGCTGAAGGTATTTTAGACCAGTGGTTCCCAAAGTTGGGGTCAGGACCCAAAGTTGGGTCCTGAAAAGATTTTCGGAATTAATTACATTTTTGCTTTAGTCACTTAGTCATACAAAGGAGTGAGGTTAGTGTATTTAAAATGGATAAATGTAGGATAAAAAATATTGTTACTATGCCCATATTTAGTTGAACTGATGCAAATGTTTATCATCCAAAAAATAGCTGGGGGCACAGGTCTCTGCTACTG